TCTAACACATGAATATGCTTTGATCTAAACCATTCCATTGTAGCTCTGGCTGTATGTTTCGGGTCGTTGTCCTGTTGGAAGGTGAACCTCCGCCCCAGTCTCAAGTCTTTTGCAGACTCTAACAGGTTTTCTTCTAAGATTGCCCAGTATTTGGCTCCATCCATCTTCCCATCAACTCTGGCCAGCTTCCCTGTCCCTGCTGAAGAAAAGCATGCTGCCACCACCATGTTTTACGGTGGGGAAAGCGTCTTCAGGGTGATGTGCAGTTAGTTTTCCGCCACACATAGCGTTTTGCTTTTGGTCCCATCTGACCAGAGCACCTTCTTCCACATGTTTGCTGGGTCCCCCACATGGCTTTTCGCAAACTTCAAACGGGGCTTTCTTTCAACAATGGCTTTCTTCTTGCTACTCTTCCATAAAGGCCATATTTGTGGAGTGCAGGACTAATAGTTGTTCTGTGGACAGATTCTCCCACCTGAGCTATGGATCTCTGCAGCTCCTCCAGAGTTACCATGGGCCTCTTGGCTGCTTCTTTGATTAATGTTCTATTTGCCCGGCCTGTCAGTTTAGGTGGACAGCCATGTCTTGGTAGGTTTGCAATTGTGCCATACTCTGCATTTTTGAAGGATAGATTGAACAGTGCTCTGTGAGATGTTCAAAGCTTGGGATATTTTTATAACCGAATCCTGCTCTAAACTTCTCCACAACTTTATCCCTGCCCTATCTGGTGTGTTCCTAGGGTTTCATGATGCTGTTTGTTCACTAATGTTCTCTAACAAACCTCTGAGGGCTTCACAGAACAGCTGTATTTATACTGAGAATAAATTACACACAGGTGGCAATTGGTTCTTCTAGATTTTAGTTAGTGGTATCAGAGTGTAGGGGGCTGAATACAAATGCACGCCACACTTTTCAGATATTTATTTGTAAAAAAAAATGTAAAACATTTATCATTTTCCTTCCACTTCACAATTATGTACCACTTTGTGTTGGTCTATCACATAAAATGACAATAAAATACATTTATATTTTTTGGTTGTCACATGACAAAATGTGGAAAATTTCAAGGGGTATGAATACTTTCAAGGCACTGTAAATGAAAATTAAAACTTACCTTTGATGCACTTATATGTATTTCTGGTGCAAAATCAACATGTATTTAAAAAGTGTTTTTACTTTTAATGAAAGCATGGAAGCCCTCCCCTAATCCACAGTTCTACGCAGCAGGGGACATCCCTTTAGCCAGCCATACATGGATCGAAATTCAGCTGGTTCAGCAAGGACCGGCTATATTTCGATCCATGTATGGACTAGCTGGTCGTACACAAGTTGATTTATTAATTGACTATAGCTAGCAACACTGATCCTTGTATTCTGACAGTGGGGAAGGCTCCCCGATGGCAGAATACAATAGCTCAGCGGGAGTGATTCGAATGTGTGGATGGAAGAATCCGTTTATTTTTTTCAATCAATCCGCTGGTTGAACAACAAAAAAAAAAAATGAATCCTGTATGTCCAGCCTTAGCCATTGTGGTAACTTCTGGTTTTGCAGCAAAGTTTGCTCTTTTACCAGAGTTTTTTTTTTCAACTTTTCGCAGAAAGCGGACACAGAACTCCAAGGTAGGTACTGTGTAGTTAAAGTAGGCAACTGAGTAACAGTTCTGCTCTCCAGAAAAGGAATTACAACTGTAGATATTTACCAAAATTTGCTTGTTGGAAAAGGACACTCAATCATTTACTGTAAATTATACAATGTCAAACCGCTTTATTAAAGGGGAAATATATTTAGAAATCTCTAATATGCAAAGCGTTCAGTAGAAAATAAAAATGCATACTATGGTTTCCTTTTTTAGAGGAATAAAAATTGGGCAAAATGTAATTTGATGACGTGTATTTAAACCCAAGATGCTACTAATATGAACAAAGATGCCTTTCCTCCCCTTGTAACCAAAAATACATTGTGACAAAATAAGTAGGGTCAGAGCTGGGTACCTTAGTAAGACTCCACCAGCATTACATGTTCATTGAAGTGCTTAATAAAATGATAAACTGATTACCACTTTAAATGTTTTGTTATTTTTAGAATCTGAGAGCCAGAAGCACACGAGAATCCAAGGATCAAGCAGCCAAAACCTCCCTGGAAAGTGAGTGAGCACATCAGTGAAGCAGAGGGCAGGGTTGGCATTGGTGGGGCACATTGAAAACTTCTTTCAAAGGCTAGATTGCAATTAAATTGGCAAACTTTTTGGATAGTGTTGGGTGTGACATCCTGTCTGTGCTGTGATGGTAAAATGTGTCATCATGTCTGTTTTTTGTCACCAGCACTACTCTACAAGCCAGTGGATCGCGTTACGCGGAGTACTCTTGTTCTGCATGTGAGTGACATTTGTAATACTCAGATGAGGTCTTCATCTATTCTTCTTGTATTATCTGAACATACTTTGATATTTCCATTCAGCCATGACATGCACTTTACAGTACAGTGGATAAATGGGGGGAAAAAAAATACATATATAATGCAGTCTGTCATTAGCAATAAAACAGCAGTTTTATATTACTTGTTGATCTTGCCATTATCTTTATTTGAAATATGGTGACAACTCTGTTCTGCATTGAAAATGTACAGCAGTGTTGTCACTTTATAGACAGGGTAGTCTAAGACAAGCCATGGTGATGCAATATTCTTTCCTGCAACCCGTGGTTGATAGGCGAAATGCCTCCTGCAGCGCTCTTGTTGTTCTGCTAGCAGGGAGCCTTTCCTGCCGAAGAACACAATGATTACTGCTGGAAGCTATAGCTGCTGGTAGTAATCACATGTACAAAAAGCAGTATTGAAGTCTATAGATAGATGAACTTCAGTACAACCAGCTTGCCCATAGATGGATCAAATCTTGGCTGGTCCCTGCTGAACATGTCGATATTTGATCCATCTATGGCCGGCTTTAGATGTAGCTTTAAATGGACCTTAATGTGAACCACTGTATACTCATCTCTATTCCAGCAATGCAGAGTCCCAAAGCTAACTCACCGGTCCATCATATCTTTGGCTGCCTTTCTTTTGGGTCCCCGATCTTTAGCCGTTTTGATTAGCAGGGCTGAGATGACATCACTCCACACATGTGCAAGAGTTCATTTATCTCGGCAGATGCCAAAATTGAACACTGAGCTGCACGATCACAGCTCAGTGTACAGTGCAAACAGGCAAGTAGAAAATGTTAATGCAGAGGAGACATAGAGAGGAATTTATCAAAACTGGAGCAAGCACAATCTGGAGCAGCTGTGCATGGTAAGCAATCAGCTTCTATCTTCAGCGTGTTCAGTAACACCCCAGTCACATCAAGCCCAACTTTGAAATCGTGCGACTTACAGTGAAGTTGCACGATTTCAAAGTCGGGTGAGATGCTGATTTCGGATGCGATTTGCAAGACATCTGACAGATGTCTATTCAAATCGCACCAAAAGTAGTACATGTACTACTTTAGAAATCGGTGCGGTTCCAACCAAGTCGGAACCACACCAAGTTGACCGATGTAATTGCAGACAATAGGTTGCGACTTGGCATATGATTTGCAAGTCGCATGGCATGCAAATCGCATGCCAAGTCGCACCCAATGTGACTGTGGTGTTAAGCTTTGAAAGTGAGACTGAAGCTGATTTTTTTTGCCATGCACAGCTGCAGCAGATTCTGGCAGTTTTGATCTATCCCCCTATGATATGTCTCACTTGCATTAAAAATCCTGTTTTTTGAAGCGGAACCAAACCCTCCTATCCTTTACAACCAAGGAAGCTGCTATTTTAGCCTCTGTTTGATCTGCAGTTGCTATGATGCTGCACATGTGATCAGTTATGACACCAGCCATTTAATGGCTTCACAGTTTGGTTGAGAGCACAAGCAGCTGTGACAGTTCCCATTCACAGTATGCCTTGAATATAACTGTTTTAGGAAACCGTTAAATCGGTGGGTTTAATTCTGCTTTAAGCAAAAGAAAAACAGATTGAAGGCTAACTATAACTATCACTGAACCAGTTATAGCAACAGTTCTTTCTTTCTTTTGGAACTACAGGGTGTCCCAAAAGTCTGGACACAGTCAAAATGCATATTTTCAATAAATTTCAATAGAGTTTTCAACAACATTTTATTTCATTGGAATAATAATCAATAACATCTTCAATAACATAATCAATAACATCTTCAATGTGATTTCCACCATTTGTGATGCAAAGTTCCATGCGCTTTGCAAGATTCACATGAACCCGATGCAGTAACTCCACATTTCCGTCAATTTGAGCACATTCGTTCATGATGCGTTCCTTCTGGTGATTCATATCTGTGATATTCATTGAGTTTAGCATACCCTAAAAAAAAAAAAGGTCTGGTGAGCTTATAAAGTGATATATTATACACATATATTTAGCATACCCACACACAAAAAAGAAGTCCATGGGGTTCAGGTCTGGTGAACTTATATAGTGATATATTATACACATATAGTGATATTTCCTATGTGTCCAGACTTTAGGGACACCCTGTATATATATTAATAGCTGACTGTTGTAAGCACACTTGTCAGTTAGTTTGTCCAACTCATGCAATTGTCAATTTTGTATGATGACTTGACCTTTTAAAGGAAGTATGAAAAATTACTGCTCTACTGGCAATATTAACAGGAATACTGTTATAGAGGACTCAAAAAAAACTGATGTGTTAATGCTGCTGTTAAAAACTATACCATATATAATTTTTGTGTATAGTTTCACTTAACTATTGAACTGTTAATATATGGCTTTATGATTGATATGATTTGCACATATTGTAATACTTTTTCAGTTGTTAAAAGTATTTGAGTGTTTTGACGCTTTCTTTAAATTGGTATTTCCAGGATCTATTAAAGCACACACCAACCAGTCATCCTGACTACCCACTGCTCCAAGATGCACTCCGCATTTCCCAAAATTTCCTGTCCAGCATCAATGAAGAGATCACTCCCAGGCGCCAGTCAATGACTGTACGGAAAGGAGAGGTGAGTGACACCTCAATGGTGGGTGCAGGAATTCTGACGGGTTATGATCACACATTACTGAATTATCATTAGGATACACTATATATAACTTTGTCCTTTTCCCAAACTACAATTTGGAAATGTTATTAAATAACGAAAGTTAAAAAAATCTAATGTAGTATTTTAAAGTGGTCTTTTGAATTGTGCATGGTTAGCCTATATGTCAGATCAAATAATCACAGCTGAATAAAACCCCCTGAAATAATGTATTTTTAGGGTAGATTCAAACCTCTGCATTTTTCGTGTGTGTGTGTATTTATTTGCTAATGTTTGTTACACATTCTTCGTGCATTTGTCGTGTCCTACCATTGAAGTTTATTGGGCCAAAAGCATACCTGTTTTTTTTTTTCCCTTATACATGAAAGCACAGTGCAAAAGTGTGAATGAGTCCCATAGAAAATAATGGAAATCCTCTTGGCATGCATCAGATGGGTGTTAATTTGCCCAGATGTGAATAGGACTGATAGCTGAAGTAGTAACTGGACAGTATGAATAACCAATGTTTAAAAGATGAACTCCAGGCACATAAAAAAAAAACACAAGATAATGCAGCGCTGTATTTCTAATGCATCTTTAAATTTGTTTTTAATGCATGTCGTGTATGTTTGTGAATTTGGCTTGATAGCCTCTTGCAGTCACCGTACAGTAGAGCTCAGGCTGGAGAAGAAAGAAGCAGCAGAAAGAACAAGTCAGTTGTGCTGCAGTTCTCATGGGTAAACGAGAAGCATTCTGAAAGGAAAGGAGGGGGGATCAGTTTGCTGTTTCTCTTTTCACTGTCCAGTCACAGGATGGGGAGGTACTTTTGCAGCAAAAAAAATCAGGTTACCGGTCATGCCAGAAAAGGTTGTGCTGTGTGGCATAGCTATGTAAATCCCAGGACTGGATCAACATAAATACAGTTCCTTTCTCAAGTAAAACTGCTTCTATATTTACAGTAGTTTGTTGGGGAGATTTACTAAAACTCATAATCTGGTGCAGCTATGCATAGCAACCAATCGCCTTCCAGGTTTTATTGTCAAAGCTTAATTGAACAGGCTGATTGGTTGATATTCTGTGTGCCCCATTTTTAGCAAATCTTCTCCTCCCCCTATGTGTTTTAGCTGTTTAGTTCATCTTTAACTGTTTTTAAAATGTAAAATAAAAATATAATATATAATTATGTCACAACTATGAAAGTTATCTGTGCTACCCAACATAAAAGTCGGATATAGACCCATCAAACATGTTGGTAACTGAAGCTACATTTGTTTTTTTTTTTTTTTTTTTTACTGGACTTCATTTGTTGTCATCTTCTGAATTACTTACATTAGCTTGGGCTGAACATACGCACTCATTGGCCGCTATTGCAAACGCAAGTCATGCAGCCTCTGTTCAATGCACAAAGCATGCACATAAGAGGTTCAGTGGTTATCCAAACAGGTATTAGTCTGAGCAATATAATCTAAATGGATGTGCCTGTAAAATGATTGTTGGTGCCTGAAATGGTGTTTGAACAGGTCAGATATTGATGACGTCCTGAGATTTTACATATTAAAGTCTACTGAGAGTGGTGCAAAAACACCCAGGCAGCCAGGATTCACCTTTTTAATGAGAGTAGTTACAAGAAGATGACCAGACGTGTTCACACTGACAGGAAACCACTATTGACCACCCAAGAAACCACTATTGGCAGGAGTGGTGTGTAGAACGGCATGTCTGACTGTATTATACTATGAAAAGTGGACAGGCTACAGCAGCAGCAGCAAGGAATGCTGGTCTTAACCCCTACCATCAAACAATAGAAAAATGAAAATGTCAATGGGTAGTATATAGATAGTATATAGATTCACTTATATAATACTGTTCCATTGCATGTTGTATTTTGCAGCATCGACAGCTCTTGAAAGACAGTTTCATGGTTGAACTTGTTGAAGGTGCCCGAAAACTGCGTCATGTTTTCCTTTTTACCGATCTTCTCCTTTGCGCCAAATTGAAAAAAACAAATCGGGGGGTAAGAGGGCACTCTTATTATAGTAGGTTTCCTACCGATTGGTCTTGTACCACTTGCAGTATTTGAGCTATTTATGGAACTAATATATGATTTCTTTTGCTGCAGGAAAAGCCAGCAGTATGACTGTAAATGGTACATACCATTAGCAGACCTGACCTTCCAGCCTGTGGATGAGTCTGAAGCTGCTGCCAACATTCCTTTGATACAAGATGATGAGCTAGAAGCCATGAAAGTGAAAATATCCAATCTGAAGAGTGATATTCATAGAGAAAGAGTAAGCTGTGTGTGCTGTATAGTGATAAGTTAAAGTGATCGTAAATATGCCCTGTTTAATTTACATACCCCTTCTCTTTATGTTTATGGATGATGCCGCTGTATTTAATTTTTTTTATGTATGTTTTGAATTAAAAAAAACAAAAAACCTAGTAGTTGCCTTAATAAAACTGGAGAGTGCAAAATCTGGTGCAGTTGTGCATGGTAACCATTCAGCATCTAATGTCAGCCTGTTCATTTAAGCTTTGACAAAAATGAAAGCTGATTGGTTTCTTTGCAGAGCTACACCAGATTGCGCACTCTCCAGGTTTAGTAAATCAACCCCTATATGTGTTTTTTCATAATCAATACATAACTGTCATTTGACCCAGCTCTTTCCCTTCTGCAGGGAGACATCTGTGGGAGGAGCTTCTAGTCCTCTGCTGCTGGTCACATGTTAAAAAAAAAGCCTTTGAAATGCAAAGAAAAAAGTATCAAACAAATATTTTAAATCATCATACAAATATGTATTTGAACTAAATTTTGTATTTTTTATGTGCAAAAACATGGTGTGGGCTATCTATAGGGAGGTTCCGTCAATCACAGCCTTTAGCCTCCAGCCTGTGTTTTTTGTAAGCATGTGTTTACAATTACAGGGAGGTGACGCCTCCATCAATCAACATATAATACCCTGCCTCCATTGTGTTTTATCTTTTTAGTGGGCATGGAGGAGGAAGGAGGGAATGGGCTCTGATTTATTCTGATTGTATTTGACACTATAGTCCCATGGACTGTATGGATAATAAAAAAGGAGGAAATTAACAGCTTAGAGGGAAACTGGAGCATGCTCAGTAGAGGTAGCAATAGCTGGTCTCAGTCTCAGCCTGCAACAGGGACACCGACAAGGAGGGAGGGTTAGCGAACCGCAGAATCAACCAGATTTTATGAAGAATACAAAACAATCCAATTGTGACTGTGTGTATGAACAGCATATAATACAGCTATTTTTATTGATAAGGGTTTAATGGCACTTTAAATGCATATTATATACTGTATGCTGTCAGGATATTGGGAGTAATCAAATATTTGAAATAATAGAAGGGAACCATATGAATATTGTTTCAGGGAGATAATGTTATTACTTTGAAAATGATTTTATTATGGGGCAGATCACCTTTGTAAGACTGCAATACAATGATATAATTGCAGCCATACTCTTCTATTTGTGGCAATGCAGTTAATCCCTGATGGAGTTCTAGCTCTGCTGTCTTGTATGTTCTTGTATCACCCTACCTCAGTACAAGGTGGAAGGATTATTGTGGGTTTCCACAGTAGACTTGGCTTGTAAAAGCTTGTTTATATCACAATAGGAGATAGTGCTTTTGGAATGGGTAGTGTTGAGTCTAAACCCCACAATTCCCAAAGGTTGCCCACTCTTTGTTTCCTACAGCACACATACAGCCTCTTCTCCCATAGCACCTGGCAACTCAAAAACTCCCCACTACAAACTGTCTGCAAACCTCACCAATGGCTGCTTTTTGCTAAATGACAGTAGTACAACCTTCTCCTGAATTTAAAGAGAATTGTTTAGGATTGAAAAATGGAACTTTCCATTGGTGACTGGTTTTGAGGTTGAAAACTTGTAGGGTTGGCATTATTTGTGATATGCTACTTTTTGGGGGCTGCTGACCTAAATTTGAGTATCAAGCGATGCGTATTTGCTTGTTTGGGGTCAATGATTTACAAATTGGCAAAAAACAGTAGGAATGACAACCAAACTTTTACCTTAAAAACAAGTCAACACAGCAATGCAAACCATGTTGATTAAAGCTGCCTATAGATAGAATTTTGAACAAAACGTCTTCGGAAAATTCATACAAAAATTCTCAAAACATTCAAATGTTGTTCAAAAGTTTTTGTTTGCTTTTAACATTTGATTTTTGAATAATCAAACTTTCACAAACGAAAATGACGTACACTGTTAGGAATTCATTCCAGAAAATGTTTCTGTCCTGCTTCTTCAAATTTTCTCATCACTGTGGTTGAAAATGAATGTCAATTTGACCCTACTAATGATTAGAAAAAACAAACTTTCGTAGAACATTCTTTTCCTAAGAATTTTCTTTCAAAATTCTACCCATCTATGGCCAGCTTAACTCTGGTTACTAGGTCATTTGTTCTACTTCGTGAGACCTGGCAACAGTATTTGGTACAGCCCTGGAGGACATTGTCTTGATAAACATTTTAAGTACATAAATCTTCTTCTAGAAAGCAAACAAAGGAGGAAAAGGCATGGATCGTCTGCGCAAGAAGCTTTCTGAACAAGAGTCAATGTTGTTGTTACTCTCACCAAGCATGGCATTCCGAGTCCACAATCGCAATGGCAAGGTGGTTCTTTCTATCTTGTTTTTAATCTACCTTGTTATGTATCCTGTCTTCTTTCTATCACTGGTACCTTATTTGTCTGATGGTGACAATGTTTTTCTTAGGGTTACACAGTGTTAACATGGTCAGACTATGAACGTGCCGAATGGGGAGAACATATCCGAGAGCAGCAAAAAAAATGTGAGTGTGTACCACAAGGGGTATACTGCATGTCATAGCCCAATAATTAAAGTGGTTCTAAAGGCTCACGGTTTTTTACCTCTATGCATTGTATGCATGAAGGTAAAAAACCTTCTGTGTGTAACAGCCCCCCCACCCCCCTAATACTTACCTGAGCCCCATCCCGATCCAGCGATGTCCACAAGAGCCTCAGTTCTCCTGCCATTGGCACCCGTTGGTGTCAGTCACAGCCAGTGAGCTAATCGGGAGAGGGAGGGGGTAGGGCTGAGCTGCGGCTCTGTATGTGAATGGACACACAGAGCCACGTGTGGGAGTTTGCCTGCCCGGGTGGCCCCATAGCAAGCTGGGGGAGGGAGAGGCCAGGTACACCGGTGTGGGGGACCCAAGAATCTTTTATTAAAAAAAAACACAAGACTTTAGTATCACTTTAAAATAGTTTGATTTTTTTTTATTATACATAGATAGTTTTTCATCGCTAATGAATGGCCTCCTTTTTTTTTAGGCATGAAAAGTTTCTCTCTTTCTTCACTGGAAATCCAAATGTTAACAAACTCCTGTGTGAAACTGCAGACTGTCCATAGGGTTCCTTTGACTTTGAGTAAGGAAGGTGAGAAAGATGTTTCAATTGGGCATGAGCAGATAATAGGTACTCATTGTATATAATAGCTTATCTGAGAAATGTAATGCCAAACTGGCAGCATGTCACACTTCTGTTCCATCTGTTTGGACTCTCCTTGGTTAAGAAAAATTTAAACAACACTGTGCTTAGTTGTGAACTGAGTTTCTTTCCTTAATTTTAACACACTAATGTTTGCAGAGTTGTGTTGGAGAGGGACCTAAAGTAGACGTCCGCTCAAAATCTAATTGAGCTTAAACCTACCCCCATTGTTGTGTTGGAGAGGGACCTAATGTAGATGTCCAGTCAAAACCTAATTGAGCTTAAACCTACCACAATTGTTGTGTTGGAGAGTGACCTAAGGTAGACGTCTGGTCACAACCTAATTGAGCTTAAACCTACCCCCATTGCTGTGTTGGAGAATGACCTAGGTTTTGACTGGACGTCTACCTTAATTGAGCTTAAACCTACCCCCATTGCTGTGTTGGAGAGTGACCTAATGTAGACGTCCGGTCAAAACCTAATTGAGCTTAAACCTACCCCCATTGCTGTGTTGGAGAGTGACCTAAGGTAGACGTCCGGTCAAAACCCAATTGAGATTAAACCTACCCCCATTGTTGTGTTGGAGAGGGACCTAAAGTAGACGTCTGGCCAAAACCTAATTGAGCTTAAACCCGCCGCCATTCTAAGCCCTATGTTAACTACCTTGGACAGGAAAGATGTGTATACTTACCTAATCTAAGGGCGCTTTAGTCCGATCGGCTTCCAGCTCTGGCTTCAGTGTAGAGGAGGGACAACGTACCACAGATGCCCCATAGTAAGTCTAACTATCCATAGGCTCTGCAGCTGTTATTGCTGCTCTCTCCTCTCCCCTAAAGCCAGCCACTGGGGAGGTCACTTACTAAACCAGAGTGCCTTAGATTAGGTAAGTACACATCTTTCCTTTACTAGGTAGTTAGTATAGGACTTAGAATGGAGGTGGTTGTCGGTTTAAGCTTAGTTAGGCTTTGACTGGACTTCTATTGTATGTATTGCTGATCCTTTTTGCCAGCATACCTGGTGTTTGTGGTATTTTCATTTCATTTTCTTGTCATTCATTGTTATTTTGGTGCTGTTGAAGATCCCAGTTGATGGCGTTTTTACCTTTTTGGTGAGTCACAAACTGCCGTGAGGTCCAATAAGTATGGATGGTTGCCCATCATTTTACATTACTAACTGTACAGAAAAGAAGTTTTTATTATATGTTGACATTTTTTATTGCATGTTCTCTCTAGATGATGAATCTTCTGGCCTTTATGGTTTTCTAAATGTCATTGTCCACTCTGCCACTGGATTCCAGCAAAGCTCAAGTAAGTTAGCATCCACATGGCATCTTCTAAAAGTCCCCTTGCACAGTACAGCAGGCTGTTTTTAAATGGGCTTAGCTTTTTTATATTGTTGTGTTTTGGCTCCAACAGATTTGTTCTGTACAATGGAAGTGGATTCTTTTGGATATTTTGTTAACAAAGCAAAAACTCGAGTCTATCGCAACACAACTGAACCGAGCTGGAATGAGGTGGGGATGATTTTGTGCACCATATATTTCCAATGTTCCACTTGGTTGTTTATTTTTAATTTGATTGTGGAGGAATATGGTACCTGTAGTTTTAAAACTGATTTTGTTCATATGGGCAGATATACATCTTCTCACCCAGGATTTCCACTGAGCAGCAGTGCAAGAGAATCATTAAACAGAATTTATTAGAAAACCACCTTACAATCTGCCAGTATGAACAAGCCCTTCAGTATAGTCTTGAGTGTTTTGTGGGAAGGTGGAAGCAGTGAAATGAATGTAAACACTTAACAAATATGAGCGTCATATTTTTGTAGAGATATTGCAAATACACTGAAGTGCACTTATCCAAGTACTGTGAAGGAGGAGGGCACTTGATTCTCCTTTTGATAGAGGTTTTGATGAGTTTTGAAAGTATCACATTTAAAGCCCAACTTTAGGGTAAGGGCCTGTGTCAACAGGCTTTGGACTTGTTTGACATCAGTTTGAGATGTTTCTGAAATGAGTCTGAATCCATTGACAGGTTCCTTTGACCAGCGGTTGACCTATTTCAAGCAGAATTTGTATTCCCATAAACCTGTATGGGAATGCAAAACCCCCTTAAAGCAAACCAAAGCCCATCAACACAGACCCATAGGAAGAGTTAGAACCTCGGACAGCTTTGTATTGTTGTATGTGAACCCTTTGAGAGAGATCACCCCCACCTCAGATACCTGTGATAACAGAATTTGGAAATTTATAAAAGGAATTTAGAGGAACAGGTATGACTGGGAATACAGTCATTATTTAACTCATGGTACCTGTGTCCCCAGTAAAATATTGGGAATCATGGCGGTGTTTTAACAACTAATACTAGAGTTCCTAAACTTAGGTGGTCAGTATATTTTTGTTGCTGCTGTGACAAATAAATTACCATTATAGACCATTTATTTTCCAACTATTAATCACAATAGCTATTGATCACAATGTCAAAAGCGTTAAAGTGGTTGTAAAACTTCACATACACCCAGTGAAGTGACTGGCCTCAAGTGATACACAGAGATGAAACCAATCCTCCCACATAAGTTGTACCTTTCTATCTGCAGTTTTCTCTTCTATACATCTGTCAAGTCCATAATTTATAAAGCTTGTCTGAGAGTGCACAAAAAATGGGGAGGAGAGCTGAAGTTACACTCTCCAGAGCTCAGTAAGAGAGCTCTGAGTGCTGATTGGAAGGAAGAAACGCACCCCCTCAACACAGCACATAGGAACATAGCTGAGGCTGCCAATCTGCTGGAGGTCCCTCCCCATTATTCTCTTTGTGTCAGGAAAACTTGTCAGAAATTATTCATGTTGATAGCAGAGGAACAAGGCAGCAGACAGAAATGACACTTAGTGCTTTTAATTGAGACAAGTACACACTATAGAGGGATAAGTTTTTATCATATTTCATGTCTGTTTACAATCACTTTATTGGGACAGTTGGAGGTTTGTTTGGTCTCCCGCTCATTAAGAAAAACACATACCAGCTTTAGATTTCCGCTAAATGTAACATATCTAAGGACACAGTACAATGTACATGGAAGAGCTCTAAGAGGAAAAAAAAACGTGATTTTTCTCCAAAGCAAAAATAGAGTAGACTTAAAACAACACTGCATCTGATGACAAGTATGTCAAACTAATGTCAGTGCAGGATAGAACAACTTCTGCCTGAAAGATACCAAACTTATTTGAACAATGAACATTGAAAGTACATCCAAACTATGGTTTCCAAACTGAAAGTAGGGTTAAAGTGGTTGTAAAGGCCAAAGTTTTTTTTTTTTTTTTTTTTTTTTTAACCTGAGCCCGATCTTGATTCAGCAGTGCTGCCCTCTCTCCCCCTCCTTCCTCAACTGAGTGAGATCAGCAAAAGCCATTGGCTCCTGCTGCTGTAAATCAAATCCAGTGATGAAGAGTGAGGGGTGGAGCTGAGTCACACTGTGTCAATGGATTCACACAGTGCAACTTGGGATCGAGCCTGCAGAAGTGCAAGCTGCTTGCTAGGGGGTGTACTCGGCATGGGGGAGGAGCCAGGAGCACCGGAGGGGGACCCCAAAAGAGGAGGATCGGAGCTGCTCTGTGCAAAACCATTACACAGAGTAAGCAAGTATAACATGTTATTAATCACTTCAAATTAACCATGTATCGAATGCATTTTGAAGGCTGCAACTGTTGAAGTTGACCTGAATTTAAAAAGTGAATTTCTGCTATGGTGTAGGGTACATTTAAAATCTAAATTGTTCCTAAGCAGTACCTTTTTTGTCCAAAATTCCTCTTAAAAAAAAAAAATAGCAGAGCACTTTTGGTATCTAGACACTCTTGTACCTACAGCTTCATAACTGTTTATTTGCAGTGTAAGATCTTAGGCACTGTGCCCAAGTCTCCCGAGATTTGAGATGTCACTATTATGCTGCTTGCTGTTCTTGCTAGAGAAAAAGCTGTACATACAGACATGCATCTCCCAGCTCTGGCTTCATTTTTTCTGGGAATGTGCCCATCTACTGCTGCATCTTGATCTGATCACCCCCTCCTCTACCAAGCTGACAATATAGAGACACAGTCCAAAACAAGGTGTGGTTGGTCCATAATGGGGAAAAGATCAGCTGCATGCACTGTTGGCAACTTATCCTTTTGTTTTTTGTTTTCTTTTTGTAACAGCTTCTAGAGTTCCTCTTTAGGATCACAGCCCCAGAACAAACATGAAGCTAGTATAGTCAGGGGAAACTAGAAACTTCTGATTTCAATTTATCTTCCAGATCTGTACCTCAAGTATGAAAATCTCTTGATCAAATATTTTTTGGTTTTCATAAAGAGATTCCAACAGTCTTCATTTTTTTTACATTTTACCTCAACTGCTTCAGAAAGCAAAATAATATACAAGTTCTGTATTAACAGCCACTGCAGAGACATCTTTTCTGGCTGTTTCCAGTGTTGTGGCTCTAGAGATTGCCATCAAATGACATTCAGAATATAGATACAAGATCTTCAGTTCATTGAGTGCTATTGCTTTGTATATACATAGGAATTTGAAATTGAACTTGAGGGGTCTCAGACTCTGCGCATACTTTGCTATGAAAAGTTCTACAACAAGAACCGGCCTATGAGGGAGGATGGAGGGGAATGTAGTGAACGCATGGTGGCAAAAGGACAAGTACAGGTAAGCACATTGACTACAGGTTTTGTAAAAAATGTCAAAGATAAAAACGCAGTCAATAAATCAAATAATTGTTTATGATATACCATGGTGGAGATTTACCAGTCTTGCTCAGAGGTAGTGTAATACAGGATTAATGAGACAGATTTACGATGACCCTAACTAACCATTTCCTAATTTGTGTGTTTTTGTAGAAATGCCTTTCCCCCTGACTTCTCTGTCAAGATTGATGCTATCAACCTGTCCCTGCATGCCAGGGTACTAGGTGTAATCCTGGGCCCTGAACTATCCTTTCAGCTCCACATCCAATTGCTGTCCAAAGCTTGCCAGCTCATTCTCCACAACATCTCCAAAATACGCCCCTTCCTAATCAGTGACAACTCCGAGCTCCTAATTCACACTCTGGTCATCTCTCACCTTGACTACTGCAACTCTCCTTTCACGTTGGATTACCTTTACATAGACTATCCCCCCTTCAGGCCATCATGAATGCTTCTGTCAGACTCATCCACCTTACCAACCATTCAGTGTCTGCTACTCCACTCTTCCAATGCCTTCTTTGGCTTGCACTCACCCAGCAAATTAAATTCAAAATACTAACAATAACTTACAAAGCCATCCACAACTCGGGCCCTTGCTACATCACTAAGCTAGTCTAAAAAATACCAAACAAATCATTCATTGTTCCTCCCAAGACCTTCTGCTCTCTAGTTCTTTTGTCACTTCCTCCCATGCTCACCTGCAGGACTTTTCCTGTGTCTCTCCCATCCCATGGAATTCCCTACCCCAATCTGTCCAACTGTCTCCTACTCTGCCTACTGTTAGATAATCCCTGAAAACCCTTCTCAGAGTAGCCTATCCACCTAACTGTATTTCCACTTTTTTTCATCTGCTCATCCCCCACAGTTATTACCTCTTGTATCACTTTACCTTCCCTTAAAGATTGTAAGCTCTAACGAGCAGGGCCCTCTGATTTGTCCTCTATTGTATTGTAACTGTACTATCTGCCCTCACGTTGTAAAGCGCCGTGCAAACTTTTGGCGTTATATGAATCCTGTATAATAAGTGACCTGAAACCTGTCTCAGACCTCTACTTTTCGGTCTTGCACACAGGCCAGTGACCCAATTCAGTGTACTTGCCAGCATATTTCTTCTGCTTGCACAGTGTACAGCCACCTGTTGACATGAACAGCTGTGTGCTGCTGTGATCATGGGTACAGCGGTGCTATCGTAAACATAACTACAGCATACGAGCATATGCAAAAAAAATCGAATTCTCTATTTTTTTGCATATGCCTTTAAGCTGTACTCATATTTACAATAATATCACCATATACATGAGTACAGCAGCACACAGCCATTAATGTCAGTAGAAGGCTGTATGCTGCACCTGGGATGTCTGGGCAGAGTAAAATACACTGGCAATTACCCTAAACATGCTCAACCACCCGTTTGCAAGATCTCTAACTTTTACAGTTGTCAGTTGTATACCAAAGAACATCTCCTTAATGAGAGACCGCTAGATTTGCAGTTTAACTGTACCTAATTCTGTAATTACCTTGCTTGAGGAATTTGTTTCCAATCTGGAGCCAGGTTACCAAATTCCTGGGAAACTCTGCTGGCTAACTTTTTAAAACATTTCTTTTTATGTGCAAGAACTTTATTTTGGTGTGAAAAGTTGATCCTTGAATTCTCTAGCATTTAGCCTACAATGCCCTAACCAGCTTTGTTTTGGCTTGCTTTCTAGCTGGACCCTCACATGGTCATGGGGAAGGATTGGCAACGTTCAGTTGTCTCTATGAATGGGGTAAGTAGCAGATATTAATGCAGATATGTTGATACATTTGTTCCCCACAAGCTGTATTTCATGGAATCTATACTGGCCACATTATCATTGACCACATTCTGCCCCACATACCCCCTTCTCAGATTGTTCTGTACCTCTGTGTAGCTTTGTTTTCACAATTACATCTTACCCTCAACCCTGATATCTGGAATATCCCACCATCCCCAGATACTGACTATTTTCTCTATAGATAGAGGTCAAGTTGTCACTGAAGTTTACAAGTCGGGAGTTCAGCCTAAAGCGTCTTCCCTCACGAAAACAGACCGGGGTGTTTGGAGTGAAAATTGGAGTTGTTACCAAGTAAGTTCATTATTAACATTGAAATACACATTTCCATCTTCATCCTTTCAATGATAAATATTTATCTATGCATCAGATTTACATAAACGTTGTTTCCTCACAGGAGGGAACGTTCAAAGGTGCCATATATAGTGCGACAGTGCGTGGAGGAAATCGAGAGACGTGGCATGGAAGAAGTTGGAATCTACCGGGTATCGGGGGTGGCTACTGACATTCAAGCTCTGAAGAATGCATTTGATTCAAGTAAGCGTACAGGTAACTCTGGTGCAGTAAGATAGACATGGTGCTGACAACCTTAATTTTCATAAGCTGGCCATAGATGGATCAAAATGCGGTTGGTTCTGCAGGGACTGGCCAAATTTCAGTTTTCCATGGCTAATCCCACTGTACAGAAGCTGATCTAATGATCAACTACTGTCAAAAAGGAGGACTGCATCTTCAATCATTGTATTCTGACCGTGGAGGAGTCCCCGCCGGTTTGGATACTGGCAGGATGGTATTGGTTGGAAAGAATTTTCGCTTTTTTCTGGTTTTAACTACTGGAGCACTGCAAGTAAACGCAGGTCTGCAAACGAATGGAGCAGCTGGAGACAGAGAAGAACTGGAGGATGGAACAGGAGAGGGAGCGGTTGCTACAGAGGGCTTTTTTACAGGGTTAAAGGCAGGATAGGTGCAGCGAGTGGGAACAGGGTACTGACATGCGGTAGATAGCAGGGCAGGAGGAGCTGTTGGGAATGCAGGAATAGAGTTTTGAGGAAATAGATTAGAAGCAGGACTGGGTCTTTGTAAGCTGACTGAGGCTGGGTGCAACAAATCTGTCCATGTCTGCAGTATGGGTTGAACAAAGCTGAGCTTACACAAAGCCTGTCTGGTCAATGACTGTACTGCGTTTATACAATCTCTTAGTGTCTGTGGTGAACATGTGGAATAACGCTCCAGAAAGTAACCCACATCATCCTCTAATAACCACACCAGGGACTCTACCTGGTCTGCACTAAATGGTGGCAAAAATTCATCCCTGCATTCGGGGGAACCAGATGAAACCAACTCAGCACAAACCTCAATCAAAGGCTGCACCTCAGAGAACTCTGTGCCCTGATCTACTAGAACATGAGCGAGCCGTATACATTCTAGCAGTTCATCCCGGGTATACTCCTTCAGAGTTTGATAAGCATACTCCCTGTCATCAAACACTAGCAGATATAAATATTCAACCTCATCAAGATCCATCCTTCCCATCAACAAGCCAAGATGGCTTCCCTGTGCAGCCACTTCTGGTCAGGATTGGCCTTGGTGTAATGTCAGGGCTCCCAGGTATGACCAGAGGTGTGTGACTGATGCAGGGAAACGCAGACTTCAGATATGTGATAAACAATACAATTTATTAACACTAACCATACAAACATAAACGCAGTGCAATACTAAACATAATACAGTGCAAACAAACCAAACCAAACCACCCACAGATAACAGTACATACAAGCAAGCGTCGTCAGGCAGGCCGGGTCAATATCAATTGGGCAGGTAGGTACAGGGGGAGCAAGCAGAGAATGGTCGGGGTCACAGGCCAGGTTCAGCAGGTAGCAAGCAGCGTAGTACAGAGGGTCAGGCAGAGGGATGGTCAGGGTCACAAGCCAGAGATCAAAACCGGTAACAAGCAGCGTAGTACAGAGGGTCAGGCAGAGGGACAGAAACAGGATGCGGGACAGAAACAGGATGCGGGACAGAAACAGGATGCGGGACAGATACAGGGCCCAGGACAAACACAACACCAAGGCAGAGTCTGTGGGTCTGGCCATCCCTTAAATACCCCAGCATCATCAGTTCCAGGTGTTAGCTGGCTGAAAGGTTGAGTCTCTGATTGCTGGGAGCACCCGCTGGCCAGCCCTGGTACTGCAGATGAAAAGGCAGGTGAGTCCCACCATTGCTGGCCAGTCCATTCCTAACAGAAGCACAGCGAGGAGGATTCCTCCATTCACCTCACTTGTGTGGATGGGGGGAATCCGTTTTTTTTTTTTGTTTGTTTTTTTTTTTTCATCAGCCCACTTGCTAATTAAAAAAACAGCCCATCTATGGGCTGCCTTAGTCTTATTTTTACTTTCCTGTTACATCAGTTGAGAGTGACTGTGCAGTCCAGTAGGCACTAGAGTTAGACCCAGTACACTCAGTTGTAATCACTCAGTAATAGAACTGGTCTGACACCCCCCCTCAATCTCTCAGTAATAGAATGTGTCTGACTCACCCCCTCTGTTCTCCTGCAGTACAAGTCTGTAAGGACACGTGCTGTGGGATCTGGCTTATGCTCAGTGGTAAGGCAGGAAGAAGAAGCAGGTGGGAGGGCAGGAGTGAGAAAAAAAAAAAGGCATTTCCAAGCACAATCAGTCAGAACTCATAAAATATGGGTTACAAGGCCATACAAAATATAACAAATTTGTGCGCCTTTAGCTGGGTTTGAACACTTTTGCTGCCACGGACATATGTTATATATCAGCCAAAAGTGGGGGTTTTAACACACTGTGCCAGCTTCTACAGCTATCAAGAGTGTATGTAAATCTGACAAGCCATCTGTTGGCTGTCAGGTAGAAGCAATCCGGTGGCTGTACAGTTGCTGGATCGCTTAAACAGACCACTGGTGGTGCAGCTAGAATGAACATCGAAGTTATGCGCGAACATCACTTCTGGGTTTGGCTGTCACTTTTCCCGACTGTGGAGAAGAAAGATGCTGTTAGGGATCCGGGTATGACCAGAAATGTGTGGACTGACACAGGGAAGTAGCAGGCTTCAGGAACACAGGCGTAGTCAGGCTGGAGAGGTGGAATGGTCAGGCAGGTCGTAAGGTACTGTCAGGTGCCGCCTGGCAGTGTCTCTAGCAGCCCACAGCACGGATTTCCTCAGGGCGTGCGGTCTAAGTCCCAGCCTGCTATTCACCAGGGCCCCTGATGGTGGGGATGGACTTGGTGCAGACTGGAACCAGGTCGCGACCCCTGAGTGCGTCCGGCTGTGGTAGAGAGTACTGGCAGGGGAGTGCAGGAATGGAGTCTGATGGGAAGAGGCAGGCAGACTTACTAAAGGTGATCCGTGCGGGATGGATGGATCATCGGGTGCAGTAAGCGTAGTCAGACAGGCCGGGTCGGTATCGTGCGGGCAGCATGGTACAGGAGGAGCAAGCAGAGAGTGGTCGGGGTCACAAGCCAGGTTCAGCAGGTAACGGGCAGCGCGGTACCGAGGATCAGGCAGAAGGATGGTCAGGCAAGGCAGGGGTTCAACAGGAGACGGTCAGCAGAGGTCGGGATCAAAGCAGGGTCAGCTACGAGGCAGGAACACAGGATACCAGGTACAGGGGCTCATGGGAAACATACACCAAGGCCCTGATCACAGGCCTGGTCATTCCTTAAAGTACACTTCCTGCAATCAGTTTCAGGTGTTGGCTGACTGCAGGAGTGAGCTTCTGGCTGCTGAGAGCACCCGCTGGTCATCCCTGGTACTGCAGCCCACACGGCAGGTGAGTCCCACCACCAGTGCTGAGTCCACTCCTGACAGTACCCCCCCCCCTCAAGGAGCGGCCTCAGGACGCTCCAAACAGTCCTTAGTGGGCAAAATGTTCCACCGCCCGGGTCAGGTAACTGGCTGGATATCTTACTGCGGGGAGTCAACCGGCTGGCTGGGTTTCCTGCTGGCAGACTTCTCTTTATGTAGGGGAGCCCAGGAAGGCAGGTCGCTGGACACAGGATTTCCAGGAGCAGGCTGGGAATCAGTTATTGGCCAGTTTAGCTGGACATCAGGGGCTGGCACATCAGGCTGCGCAGCGGACAGAGGCATGTCGGGTCGGTATCGTGCGGGCAGCGTGGTACAGGAGGAGCAAGCAGAGAATGGTCGGGGTCACAAGCCAGGTTCAGCAGGTAGCGGGCAGCACGGTACCGAGGATCAGGCAGAAGGATGGTCATGCAAGCCAGGTGTTCAACAGGTGATGGTCAGCAGAGGTCAGGATCAAAGCAGGGTCAGGAACACAGGATACCAGGTACAGGGGCTCATGGAAAACATACACCAAGGCCCTGATCACAGGCCTGGTCATTCCTTAAATACACTTCCTGCAATCAGCTTCAGGTGTTGGCTGACTGCAGGAGTGAGCTTCTGGCTGCTGAGAGCACCCACTGGTCAGCCCTGGTACTGCAGCCCACACGGCAGGTGAGTCCCACCACCAGTACTGAGTCCATTCCTGACAGATGCTAAAGGAACGCTATTTGTGCTCCATTAGCTTCAGTGAAAGGCAGGTAAGACTTCAGGGGTCAAATGAATTCCTAATGTCTCATTAAAGAGAACCTATCTAAACAAAATGCTGTCATATAGGGTTCTTTTAAGCGGGAAAAAAAGTGTACAAAAATTTACACCCAGCACTCACACAGCATTTAAAAAAAAACTAAAATTTTTGAGCCAACCACCACATACACGCACATATGAACATAAACACATGTACACAAACGTTGATTGCTCTGCACATGTTACATATCACCACACGCTGATGTAAGAACAGTAATTCTAGGGCCCTTATTCATGGTTAACACTAAACTGATGACCTGTAGGGGCTTTTAAACCAACGCCTATGGAAAGTTTTGGATACTGAAGTTTGTCGTCGTTTCACAGAGGCGTGCAATCTTAAGGCTTGACATGTTTGATAGCTATCTAGTGCAAACTCCTCTTTTAAATCAGAAATTATGTATGTTATTTTAATAAAAGATGTTATAGTGAGCGCGACTTAAATGCAAAAAGTGTATCAATATATATATATACACAAAAACGTTAGTGAGCAGCTGATACACCGTAAAGGTAACCAAGTAAAACCTCCAAATCAAACATATATATTAAATAACTGGTGCAGCGCTAAATACTAGAGCACAGTTTATACACACAATATATAAACATGCATGATATCACTCTATGGTGATCAATAAATACAAAAGTTCAGTGTAATAGTGCGGATCATGCAGAGATCCCAATTAAAGGTGAGTGGACGTCCTGATCCAAGGTGTGATGATAGGTGTGATCACACAAATAGGTGAAAAACGCACTCACCAGATGTGCGTATAATCTACGCAATATGTAATCCTGCGTCACCAGGCCATAAAACGATCATCAGATCCCAGATCAGATTGTACCCAGGTCACCATCTCAGTTCCACAGAAGTGAAGTCATCTGAAACCGCTACCAGGTATCACCACCAGGGTCCTGAGTCCTCCAGATGGGCACTGCGAATGATAGCACTCACACAGAGTGCCCAATAAGAGACCTCATAGCGTGATACTGCTTTAGATGCTTTTTATTCAGGGTTGGTTGGTGTGGGGTACATACAAAGATAAATCAAAAAGTTTACTGACCATATGCATTCCTATTGGTTAGGTGTCCTGCTGCTGCTGCCCCCCTGACGCGTTTCGTGCGATGCACGTATTCATAGGGTCCAGGGCTCAACCCTACCTGGACCCTATGAATACGTGCATCGCACGAAACGCGTCAGGGGCAGCAGCAGCAGGACACCTAACCAATAGGAATGCATATGGTCAGTAAACTTTTTGATTTATCTTTGTATGTACCCCACACCAACCAACCCTGAATAAAAAGCATCTAAAGCAGTATCACGCTATGAGGTCTCTTATTGGGCACTCTGTGTGAGTGCTATCATTCGCAGTGCCCATCTGGAGGACTCAGGACCCTGGTGGTGATACCTGGTAGCGGTTTCAGATGACTTCACTTCTGTGGAACTGAGATGGTGACCTGGGTACAATCTGATCTGGGATCTGATGATCGTTTTATGGCCTGGTGACGCAGGATTACATATTGCGTAGATTATACGCACATCTGGTGAGTGCGTTTTTCACCTATTTGTGTGATCACACCTATCATCACACCTTGGATCAGGACGTCCACTCACCTTTAATTGGGATCTCTGCATGATCCGCACTATTACACTGAACTTTTGTATTTATTGATCACCATAGAGTGATATCATGCATGTTTATATATTGTGTGTATAAACTGTGCTCTAGTATTTAGCGCTGCACCAGTTATTTAATATATATATGTATGTTATTTATTTTTTTTAACTAATCTTCTAGTCTAAAATAATGTTTGTGTGCAAAAAAACACACAAATGGATCTAACAGCAAAAGGGTTAAAGGAAACAGATCAGAAATGCAGTGCATAAAAACAAAAAAACATAGTGTAGCACACAAGTTGAGTGAACTGCAGGAACTGGCACTGAAATTCTTTAGAGACAGAATTAGAAGAGAAGCATTCGTAAATTGTGAACTCCTGTGAATGGCTTTATCACTTTGTTTTTGACTTGTCTTGAATTTTACAATACTGAGTGAAATACGGATGATAAATAACACAGTGGTCGTATGCAGTGTGTACATAGTCACTGGTATTTTATCTTTACCTCTTTAGATAACAAAGATGTGTCTGTTATGATGAGTGACATGGATGTCAATGCCATTGCCGGAACCCTCAAGTTGTATTTTCGGGAACTCCCGGCACCACTCTTCACAGATGAACTATATCCCAACTTTGTTGAAGGAGTTGGTAAGGCTTAGTAATTCACCTTTTAAAAGTGGTTCTTTATTGTTTGAGATGTATTCAAAAATATTTAATACCTGTTTTTTTCAAGCTCCATGAATTAAGTTGTCGTTTTTCTTCAGCATTATCAGATCCTGTGGCCAAAGAGAGCTGTATGTTGAACTTGCTGTTGTCTCTGCCAGAGCCCAGCCTACTCACTTTTCTGTTCCTACTGGACCACCTGAAAAGGTAATGTGGGAGCACTGTAAGTAACCCTAGTATTTGGCCGGGTATCTAAACCTGCCCTATATATCCTAATCTGTATGCTGTAGTGGGCCATTTTGCACTTTCTGCAATATTGTGGTAAGAAAAATGTGGGCTTTAGAAGAGAAATGTATAAAATGCTTCCTGACATTTTGAATGTTTCATAAAGAGATACTCCCCTTTGCCATGGTGGTATACAACACTTGGTAGTGTATTAAAAAAAAAATGTCATAGCCATTCGCCCAGTGAAAGTGCATGTACATCTGTTCTACGTGAACACTGCAAAAAACTAATGTTATTAGGCCCTTTCCTGTGCTGGTCTGCATTTGGCCACGCAATGGTGCCAAGTATCATCTGCATTTCCTATGATACTTTGCCTGCATTACTGGGGCTTGTGCATGTAGACAGCAATTGACTGCAAAGAGTTTACAAGAGATCATCAGCATTGAGATGCAGTAAAGGATGAGCAAAGGTGAAAATGAGTCTTATGATCTGTAATTTGATTCAGGGTGGCAGAGAAGGAGAGTCTGAATAAGATGTCCCTGCATAACCTGGCTACTGTGTTTGGCCCAACCCTACTGCGGCCATCTGAGAAAGACAGCAAGATCCCTACGAATCCAACGCAGCCAATCAGCATGGCCGATAGTTGGAGTCTGGAAGTCATGTCACAGGTATCTTTCAACCCTTCGTATTTTATACTAATAGAATAAAAAGATGTAATGCTTAAAATGTAACAATTCCTATAGAAATCTAGCATTTAACCAACTCCTTCTTTTATGACTTTATAAAACTGGAAGTTTGCATCCTGTGGAAAACGTCAAAGTGTGCTATATCAACCAGGCATATTTAGAACTTAGAATATTGGGTATACACTTTATCAGGATATATATATATATAATATATATATATATATATATAAAAGTATTGGTCATTTTTTTTTATATCATAATAGCTCATATTTTTTATATTATAGACTCCCATATGGAATGTACTAGACAATACAGTCTTTTTACTAAGAAGTAGTTCATGAGACACGATCATACTCTTTAAAAAAGTAATTTGCAATATAGAATTCTCAATATATCCCCAATGTAAGTGTAATGAAAATGGATTCCAAATGCTGACAAATGAGTTCAAAGAAAATGTCTCCTAATATAGCTGACAGATAAGAGAGACGTCCATGGTTTGTATGGTAAATAGTTCTGAAGAAAAGGAAACCTACTGTATGTCCGCAGATATTGAACTATTTGACTACATAATATAGAATTGCCACAGACCACATTATGATCTCATAAATAAAAGGGCCACAAATTGTGGAAACCACAGTGCAAGTGCAGCAGTTCCATGTTGTACAGAAAGTAATGAATGATAGGAAGTCAGCAAATCTGACAAATTGAATTTATATATGTATGTGTGAGCCTTTTAAAGTATTCTGAGCAGGAATAGGCAGTTCCTAACGTGATGATAGAGCAAAGTCCTAACAGTTGTATAAACAATTGCATGTATATAGGTCTATGACTTTTGTGAAGTATCCTCAGCAAGAATAGCAGTTCAGCAAGTATAGGCGGTGATGACAGAACAAAATCCCAGAAACATCGCCCCGTTCTAAAGTTGGAACTTGTCATTGTAATCCCATGTTATGTAGAATGATCCAAAGGGTTACTAAAGTTTAGTGGTGTATCCATAAGTCCATCAGCTTATGTGCATATTCGTCTCTATTATGGGATTTCTGCAGAAACTGTGTACAATTCACAGGATAATTATGGATTCATCTCACTGGTGTCAATGGCAAATTGTCCCAGAAACCTTTAATCTTTTCCTGGTTGAAATGCACCATTCCATTGTTCACAGAAGTTTCTGCAAACAAATAACCTAAGTAACTACCACAATAACAAAAGGAAGAGGGCCCTATGGTACCCCCAAACCATGTGCATGCTGAACAAGCTAGGTTCTTGGTTCAGGAACCCTCTGCCAATAGCAAGGAATGATTTATTGACTCCATGGGATCTGTTCACCTTCTGTCTACTCTATTTTTGGGGTTGTCTCACAGACTCGAGAGAAACGCCTTTCTGGCTGTCTTTCTTGTTTCAGATTTACCCATATTCTTTGGCAGTCTGCTTAGAATTCTTCTGTTGCGCCATGGATTCTGGTTACTAAGGAGCCTTTTTATTCCTGTTACTCTTTGAGGCTTCAGGATAGATAAAGTAAGTTGTTTTCTGCAAGTTCTCACTTTTTTGCTTGCCCCAGAGATGTCTTCTTCTTGCATAGGGGGAAATGAATGTATTCCTCAGCTCTATCTGATCTGTATTCTGCCTTACAAATTTTGGTGAGAATATTTTACATTTTATTCTCTGCCTAATTCTGTATAAAATTCTATGTACGGTACCCTAACCTTGGATATCTAGGTGGGTTCAGGAACTACTTTTAGACTCCTCGGAGGTACCTCCGACTCAAGTTGTGTTCAGAGTTCATCCTTGGTAGTCCTTACCTTGGTGAGTTGATTGTCAGGCCTGGCAGCCCTTCCATGCAGGCATCCTTTGTTGAGCTTTATAGGATCAGGTGAGCTGAGGCTTAGAGCCTTCTCTCTTGCCCTGGGCTGCTCTGGTCTCCCTATACCAGGACATCATTCTCAGTTTCCTATGTCTGGTCCCAGTTCTTACAGAGGAGTTCATTCTACTTGTTGCCCACACTTCAGGCTGCAAGTACTTCCCTGTTGGGAAATTGTTTTTGTTCCACTCTTCTGGTTGGATCTGGATACCAGTTTCATGCATAGTATATTACTAAAGGTTTTTTTCCTCCCATGTGGTGTCTTTTCTCACTAGTTTTGTGAGTATTCTCTTGGTTTTCTGGCATCAAGCTAACTTTACCACCTAGCTTTACTCTTCCCCTACGTGTGTGTGTGTGTGTGTGTGTGTGTGTGTGTGTGTGTGTGTGTGTGTGTGTGTGTGTGTGTGTGTGTGTGTGTGTGTGTGTGTGTGTGTGTGTGTGTGTGTGTGTGTGTGTGTGTGTGTGTGTGTGTGTGTGTGTGTGTGTGTGTACCTGGTGCCAGCTTTATGCGTTTGTCCTTCAGGTGCCTTTTGAGTCCGCAGTTGCTTGTTTATGTTGGGCCTTTTAGTAGTTGTTTGCCATTGCCCACCAATCAGTGGGACTGATTTTGGACATCCTGAAGGTGATAGACTTCCTGTGGCCTTCAATGAACAAGAAGAAAAACAGGATTTCTGTACTCAATGTGAAATCCTTTTCTTGAAGTGCATTGAGGGACAAAGGTCCTTATGCTTCTGATCATATTCTTGGTACTGCTTGCTACAAACTGAGGCATGCTGGTAGTAAGATGGGATTTTAAGAGTCAAAAAAAAAATGTTCTGAACCAAAGAAAGACCCATTTTAACTTAGTACAAAAATAATATTTTTATGTTCTGTGAACTGTTCGGCATAAAGACCCATATGCTTGTGAACTTATGTATACGCCATCAAACCCAGTGAATCATTCACACGACATGGAATTGTGAACTGTTCGGCATAAAGACCCATATGCTAGTGAACTTATGGATACACCATCAAACCCAGTGGATCATTCACATGACATGGAATTGTGAACTGTTCGGCATAAACAGCGAGGATCCTACATCCTACATAAACAGCGAGGGTGTGTGCCACCAGTGGGATATTTTCCGTACTTAGCTCTGGGGAATTTTTCTTCATATTTAGCTTTATTTTGATTTTTTTTTTTTTTTTTGTAAAAAGTTTCTTAATGACATCTTGAACTATCTTTCAGGTGCAGGTTCTGTTGTACTTTCTACAGCTTGACACCATTCCTACCCCAGACAGCAAACGTCAGAGCATTCTCTTCTCGACGGAGTGTGTGATGTACTACGGCAGCTTATGGAGAAGCACTCGGCCTCTGTAGATCACTTAGCTAGCCTGTAATCAGTGTAGGTTGAGAGGTATAGGAGGGGGGCAGGTGGATTCCCCACCTCTATAAAACATTTAGCAATCCCTAGGAGGCTTGCAATAGCAATTGTTAGCATTAAAAGTGCTATTTTTAATTTATTTATTTATACATTTTTAGATAAACCTTAGAGCAGCTGTGGGCTATGGGCTCCAAATTAACCTATAAAATGATGTATAAGATGTCTGTATCAGGAACCAAAATGAAGTTACTGCCGATTGCTCTGCCTTCAATGTGTACTGTAGGTTTTATATTTTCTTTTATTCAGCAGACTGTTTGTCACATAAAAGTAGGATCGAATTGGTTTGATGAGTAAGGAGGTGACATTGCTACAGGGCAGAGCTCCAGCTTGTCTTTGCACAGTGTTACAAGGTATAAAATGCAATAGTAATTTGTTTTTTAAATAGTATGTGTCATGATAAACTTCAGCCACTAGATGTCAAAAGAGGCCAACAAGCCAGGCCTGCTGCTGAATGAACCTTCCTAATGCTGGATTTATCTGAGGTCCACGTTTTAGTGCCGGGATTCTCCTATTAGGACTTCTTTGTGCCTGTATATGTCATAGATTTTAGAACACTTTTATTGTCTGTGGTGTTTGCTGCATGTTTTTCCAGGTGGTTTATTGAGTGATTTGTGTTGAGAGATATAGCCAAAAATGTGAGAATCAGTTTTTGTTCTGTAGAAGCAGGCTATTTTGCCCTTTGAAATAGTTTTTTGGACATTGAACTCACCGTCTTGGCCTATCAGTGGAGTCCAGAGCAGCAAGAATGAGCTGGTACATAAGAAGAGGTTATCCAATGATATGTCTACATTGGGATCTGAAGCCATAAAGTAACTTTTTATAAACGATCATTGCCATGTCCCAGCATTCGCCGGAATAATGTCCTGCACAATGCCACATTTTGAAAACGGAGCTGGTCTCTGTGTTCAGGTGCTTTACACTTTGGACTACAGGATTCACTGCCAGAAACATGGAGGCAATTCCTCCATGCTTTTAATTTCCTTGAGGTCCAGTGTCAGACATGGTCTGTACATGACGATAGTGAAGGTTGAGGCATGTAATTAATGTGGATAATGTGCCATGACGTAAGGCTGCCCTTGGCTTTTTAAACGTGGGAAGCCGCTGAGCACATCTGAGGCTTTAGTGTGCATTGTGTATACTGTGTAGAGCCACAATCCGCCTGAATGTTCTAATAGAGAAAAAGGATTGTTCACTATTTAGTAGGGTGTAGTGACTACTGAATTTAATCTCATGCTTCAGGACCTTTGTGTCGGGACCATTTCTATTCCAATGTATATGCAGCTTTTAGCCAGTTTATGGGGAACTTGCACTGAATAGCAGTTTAACTCTGTGCAAAGCTTCAGATAGCTAAATCGTTTTGGTACTTTTTAGATCTTGAGAGGTGGATCGCTGGTCACAACCCAGTCAAACGAGTTTCCATTTTTATATTAATCCAGCAATATTCATGTTTTGTGACATACTGTGCTCTGTCCTGTATACATTGTTAGGGGAAGCACTCGCTGATCTCTTGTTGTTACAAGGAGGATCCAGATGAACTAGTTCAGCTCTAACAGCAGAGACAAATGCGTTATTTCCCCTTATTTTAGTGGTAGGAAAGAGCGTCAGATTCCTGTTTTTTCTGCTTTTTTCTAAAATGGATAAATAATATTTAAAAAGGGAATTATATTGTATTTGTTAAAGTATTCAAAAGCATTTTTAGCCTCTGTTTATACACAAGCTATTCAATAAAAATAAATCTGAAATTAAATTGTGATTTTATCAATTGTGTTAAGTCCACTGAAAAGTTTGTATTCATCGCAGTTAATACAGCCTGCCTGGCAGCTGGTTTTCAGTTTTGTCATGATACTCATGCTAGGACACTGCCTTTGAATCAACAGCTTTCAGTATTGCAAAAAAAGTGTTTCCCAGTTCTTAGCACCATCCTCTGTAGTTGTCATAAAGGTAAGTGACACTGGATCAATCATGTGAGAAGAAGTTACAGTACTGCCATAGATGTACTGTGAAAGACTTGCTGAATTTAGGGCTGAACATTACATAAAATGGACATTGAAGCTTGATGCTGTCAACCAAAGCCAGTAAGCCAATGAGAGAGAGGGGGTGGGGCTGAAACGCGGCTCTGCATGTGAATGGACATACAGAGCAGAGGCTCTGGATCGAGCTGGCTTGGGTGCCCCCATAGCAAGCTGCTTGCTCTGGGAGCACTTGGCAGGAGGGAGGGGCCAGGAGCGCCGGTGTGGGCCCTTGGAAAAGGAGGATTGGGGCTGCTCTGTGCAAAGCCATTGCATAGTGCAGGTGCTGTAAGTATGACATTTGGGTTTTTGTTTTTTTTTATTGCCTTTAATATCACTTTAATGGTTCACAGCACATAAGTAGCAGCTCAATATGTATACAATATGCCCTTTCAAGGATACACTTAGTAAATTCAATTTTCTGCTCATACACAATGGGTGTTCAAAAAAAAAAATAAGCCATAATACCTAAAGGGTGAACAAGATATGTAACAAAACTATTGTAAGCAGATACCTTGAACAACGGGAGCATAGTCCAAATATAGTCAAAGCTAGGCCAAGACTAAGAGGAGGTCCAATGGGCCTCTGTATTTATGATCTCAAGGAATAGCCATATACACTTCATCATGCTTCAGCAGGTTGTCCAATTTTATGACAGATATACTGTTACTTAGATGACATTACCAGTTAATTGACTCCATTGCCAGAGGTGTTTAGTACATGATGTTTGCAGTACTTTATCCAGTGAGTGTTCCTGAGCAAGCAGATGTGATAGTCGGAATTATGAGAATAATCCACTTTATTGTTGGAAGTTCCTATTGACAGCTACAGATCTGGTCCTCTGCCATACTTGTCAGGGATTGGATCTGTTCACTGTCATTAACTCTGATTTACTAAAGAAGTAGAGCATTTTCACTTTCAAAGTGAATTTTCACTTTATTTTGTGCAAAGAAATAAAAAAAAAAAAAAAACAGAAATTTTGCTTGCACATTATGGGATGATTGAAGATTGGAAAAGATATTTCTAAAAGCTTTCAAGCAGCTGGTTGTCCAACGTCAGCTTCTAAATAGCAGAAAACAACAGATTCTCACCCCATATAAAGACAAATCACATATATATGCTCGCTGATCAATTTATTAGGAGCGCTTGTATACCTTTTTATTCATGCAATTATCTAGCTGGCCAATCATGTGGCAGAAGCTCAATTCATAAAATCATGCAGATACAGGTGAGGAGCTTCAGTTAATGTTCACATCAGACAACAGAATAGGGAAAATGTGATTTCCATGATTTTCACAGTGGTATGATTGTTGCTGTTAGACTGGAGTTTTTCTGTCTGTAACTGCCAACGGGCTTTAAAACTTACTTAGAATGGTGTTAACAAACAGAAAATAACCAGTGAATGGCAGTTCTGTAGATGGAAACTTTTTGTTGATGAGGGAGGTCTAGAGAGTATAGCTACACTGGCCTGAGCTGACCACCTACAGTAACTGATGAGCAGAAAATCATCTCCGAATACACAAAACATCCAGGATTGAGGCAGATGGGCTACAAAAGCAGAAAAGAACGTCAAGATCCACTCCTTTTCAGCCAAGCACAGAAAGCGGGAGGCTGCAATGGACACAGATTTACCAAAAGTGAACAGCTGAAGCCTCAAGAAATGTATCTTGGTCTGATAAATCTTGATTTCTACTGAGGTACGCAGATGGTAGGTCTATCGCTGGATCTGATTACAATAGAACACCCAGGGGATGTTGTAGAATGGGAGATTCGTGGCATGGTTGCACAGTCCCAAAGGAATTGTATAAATAAGTTAGGCACCTTAGATTGTATGCCTCTTGAGGGTTAGGGACTGATGTGAATGTACAATATATATGGAAAGCAATGCGTAAATTGATGGCGCTATAGAAGTACCTGAAATAAATAAAAATAAAAAAAAATATTTGTGTAATCCAATAAAGGAAGAACTGAGGCTATTTTGAGAAACAAAAATGGAGAGACCTAACCTAGTATAATAAAGTGTTCTAATAAATTGCTCAGTGAGTGTATGCACTTGTTTCTTCCTTACTTACATGGGAATAATTTGAGTTAAATCAATTTGGTTGCTTACTGTACACTGAAGCAATTGCATTTTTTGCTTGACATCTGTTCCAAGAAAGTGCATTGAATATTTAGATTACCATTGCTTTGACATGCTTACAAAGGCAGCTCTGAGGACCAAGCATAATAAGCATAGTTGCTTACCGACTGTCAGTAAAATGTCTATTGGTAACCAATATATTCCTGCGTGGAATCTTACTGCTTAAACACTATCAAGGTTTCCCTCTTTATATTTGTGGATGTGTGTGGATCAGCTTATGATGGCCTGGTCCATACCAGACCTTTATTTTACCAGTATAGCACCAGCTAAGAAGCACTGAACTGGACAAGAAAATTAAGTGAAGCAGGTTTTATTACTTTAGTCACATTTAATTATATGTACACATATAATTAGAAAGGTAAGTTAATGCATAATTATATACTGTACTTATATAAATAATGTAATGTAGTCTAATGTATTTAAAGACAATGTAATCTACAATAATATAAACATTTAAAAATATGAACAAGTAGAAAGAACTATGTAATAATGTAGTAATATACAATAAAAAATATATATAATTAACCACTTCAAGTCTGAACACTTTCACCTCCTTTCAGCCTAGGCCAATTTTCAGCTTTCAGCGCTGTCACATTTTGAGTGACAATTACTCAGTCATGCAACACTACCCATATAAAATTTTTATCATTTTTATAGACAGATATTTATTTATTTCAGGTACTTATATAGCGCTGTCCAGTTGCGCAGCGCTTTACATATACATTCACATCAGTCCCTAACTCTCAAGGGGTGTACGATCTAAGGTACCTAACTCACATTCATACAT